CGCGGGTGGGCGCGGGAGGGGCGAGGGGGCGTAGCGGAGGGCGAGTGGGGTACGCCCCAGCCGCCCACAAGGAGCAAAACAACACGTGTTTATGTTCGCGGGTGTTTGTTTTCCGCACGATAACTCGCGGCCGCTCGGCAGTTCTGGTTGAACGCATTACGGAAAATGGAAGGGCGGTCGAATGGTAGTGGTGGCGGGGGCGGCGGCGGACCGTCCCAACTTGTCGCTCGTTGCTGATCACGCAGCGCAATTGCCAACGCATTGAAGGAACTTGACACCTCCTGTGCCCCGGGCTAGGCCGACAGGGCGGTCGGGACTGTAAGAAAGTGTTGGTGGCATCGTCGTCGACAAACACAACTGGAGTGACAGTGGACAAGGAATTGGAGAAGGAGTTCATGATGTGTGTGTTAATCTTTTCACGGTCGCTTGTAAAACAAAATTGTCATACAAAACTACATTTCTCAAGCAGATTCATGGAAAAGTCTAAGAAATTATGAAAAAAAAATTGTAGTGTAATATTAAATATGCGTTTTGTTTTCCATTTCTAACAATTTTATTTTCGACTAAAGCGTGAGTCTTGATTTGAATCTTTCGCCAAAAAATATAAAACTATGTAACTTAATCGGCACACGTTCTCAAGGAACTACAAATTTGAATTTTTAGTACTGGTAACAAAATAGCAATCCACATCCTCAAGCTCTACTCCTACCATACAACTAACAAAAGGAGAGCTCAACAAAACGTGCGCAAATTGAAGCTAAATTATGCCCCAATGCAAAACAAAGTGCCATATCACTATTTGCTAAATAGATCGGATAAACTGGGCGAAAAAACTGATCGAAAAGAGGGTAAATTATACGTACAATTGTCCCTTAATACATTAAATGTCATAGCTAAAACTAATATTTCCCTTTTTGATGTTGATAAGGTTTCCGATTTTTGAAATGTACGTTTAGAGACTGAAAATGTTTGTTTTTTGTTTGTTTTTATAAAAACTTTCATTACTATATAGCAAATTCTTTCTAATATTTTTGAAAAAACTGATCAAAACAAATATAGGCCGTTAATTTTGAATTTCATTTATTACCTCTTTTATAAAAAATGGTTTCATTTTAGTTGTTTCGAAACTATCAGGAGATATTCCTGTTTACAAAAATCATTGAATACGCGACCTATTATGCCAGTGCTTTATACTGCATGTATAAAGGTAGACGCACTGGCGGCGCAATGGGAAGCGCAATTTTTATGTGCTATCTACAAATATTCTTTCACATATCTAATGAACATGTATAAGTGTTGGGTATAACAAACTCCGCACTGATCTACAAAAACCCCGAAGCTGGTGAATTCTTTAACTTAAAATCCTTCATTTACCCCCTCAATATTTTGTAGCTTCGCTCAGCGGCCTCCTTTTCCTATTATTTTAAGGAAGCTTCTAGGAAACCTTGATGTAAGTACACTCGAAAATTAAACGATGTTCGAAATTCGCAGTGCCTCGAGTTCCGCCAGATCGATCAGGATATTCTGATCTTGGAACAAATGCAGATAAGGCGCGCGGACGGCCGGATCGAAGGACGGACGGACGGACGGACGGACTGGCGGACGGGCTGGCGGACGGGCTGGCGGACGGGCTGGCGGACGGGCTGGCGGACGGGCTGGCGGACTGGCTGGCGGACTGACTGACTGACTGACTGACTGACTGACTGACGGACGGACGGACGGATGGACGGATGGACGGATGGACGGATGGACGGACGGATGGACGGACGGACGGTCTGATGAAGGGATCGTTGGACGGACTGCAGGAGGGAAGCATTTTAAAAACTTTTTTCTGCATCAGGCACTCCGAAGTATTTCTGATAATACCATCTTGGCATTATAATAGACGGTAAGTATTATACGAGAAAGTAAAGGGGGGGTTCTCCAACAATGAATACAAATATAAATAATGCATACACCAGTATTGTGGATAGTAAATTATTAGTAATGGAAAGAACCGGAAAATCGAATGGTAGAAAATGATATAATAATTCACGTCTCTAAAAGACGAGAACTAGATACTATAGAATTCCTCTCAAGAGAAGAAAGACAAACCAGGAACCTCTTCGACAGATGGTATTTCCTTGATCCTCCAATTACGAAAACGTTACTTTCCGAAATACATTTTCAAGAATAATGTCAGCACGTTGTTTATGGCGACCTTCCCCTGCCTATCGTTTTAAACGATATTAGGGGATCTGAGGGAACGGCCTCCTGCCCCAGCGCGGATGCCGTCGAATTCACGCTTTCAGTCGCCGGCTCCCCCGCTCCCGATCCCGCTCTCCGAAATTGCATATTCAGGACAGGGAGCGTTCGAGAGGGTGGGGGGCGGGAGGTGGCAGAAGAGAGAGGCGAGAGGGGAGCAGATCAGGCTCACAGTGCTCGCCCCCACGTGCCACACCCGAAAGCGCGTGGAAGCCTCACCACGACGTCCGACAGCCCGCTTCCGGACGCGAGACGCTCATCGGAATGAGGAGGCGAGGGCAAGGGATATCGCGGGGGACCAAGATGAAACCGGGTGACGGGTAACAACGGAATTTGAGAATAAAGAGCGAGTGGAAGGGGTGGAGGATTTAGAAAGAACGAGATACACTTGCGACTTGGGAGGGCGAAGTGATACGAGAGGATGGACGTGAAAGTGCGTTATAAAAGTGCGATGGATGTCAATGAGAGTGCAGCGTGCAAGGCGAACGTCGAACATCGTACGAATTGTCAAGAGTATCCGGAATTAACAGTGCAGGATATGCATGGCGTGAGTAGAGAGGCAAGCGTGGAACGCAACGCATTAGACACAGGACGCAGGTGCACATGGTGAGGCATGCGTGAACGCGTGAAGACAGCCGTGCAGGGCGTGATACGACTAAAAAAGCGAGCAAAGATCCCGAATTGAGAAGGGCGCAGGGTTCGAGAGTGAAACGAATTCAGGAGCGAAAAGAAGAATGCGTAGTATGCGGATCGAAGGGTTAGTTCGACTAGAGGCAGAGAAGTCAAGCGCGAAGTGCAGAAAATACTCTGATGCTCAACTAGAAGAGAGCGAAGAGTCGGACGTATTATGTGACTCGTGGACGGAGGTGTGCGGCACGAGTTGAACGGCGGAGGGCAATCGCCAGGAATGTCCGGAACGAAGTCCTAGGGTGTGAGGGGCGAGTCGGTGTTTGCCGGGCGCGCTGCAAGAGGCAGGGGTGCGGGAAGAGGAGGGGAGGGGGAGCACCGCTTAGGCGCGAGGCCCGCGCGCGGCCACCGCACTCACCATGCAGATGAGACACTTGAATTTGTCGTCGCCGGCCCTCGACTCGCCCTCGAGTTCGCGGATGCGCGACTTGAGCGCCTCCAGCACGGGGTTGGCGTCGGCGGGGGACGCTGCCGCGGCTCCGTCGCCGCCTCCGCTTCCGCCGCCGGCCCCCGCCTCCGCCTGCTGCTGTTGCTGCTGCGAGGGCTGCTGTTGCTGCTGCTGCTGGCCAGGGCCGGCACCCGCCGCGCCCTCCTCCTTGGCGTCGCCGTCGCCGCTGCTCGCTCCCGCGGCGCCTCCCGACGCCGCCGCGCCCGCGCCGCCCGACGCGCCGCCGCTGGCTGCCTGCGCCTCCCGCTTGGAACCGTCGGGGCTGCGCAAACGCCAGCGCCAACGCACGGCACTTCAGTGCAACTGCCTGGCTGAAAATCCTCTCCAACATATAACACATCACGCCCGAAAAAGTAACGAGGTACAATACAAGAAAGTCTTCCAACAATTGAGAATAAAAGATAGGTACATTGAAACTTGAAAATATTTCATGTAGGGCTATTTATTCATATCGCGTTGAGCAAAACAATGAAATGTCGACAGGTCTTGTCAAAATCTTGAGTTGTGTTTCGTTCTGCTAAGCCAGCCCCTGTAGATTCTAATAAGATACAAAATTTATCGGATCTGACTAAGATATACACACAATGTACGAGAAGATAACCCTACTTTGTAGACAGCACTCGTTAGAAGAGGCTCGTGTCACATGCCCACTGATACTCACTGGGTACGCTTAGGACATTAAGTAGTATATCTTCCCTGCCGCACAAGTAATAGCGGAGAATAGCTGTCGACAGAAACTAATACCTCATTTGTGTCCAGCAACACATTTTGCATTGCATATATGCATTCACCAAACAGTTTTGCAATATGCGCGCAATGTATACGTTATCGCTCAGTGGCGCAAGCACCATCTGTTTAATTACAACGCGTCTCGTTGAGCTGAATAATTTATAGACGAACGCAAAATATTATGTAGAATATTCCCATTGTCTGCGGATGGACATTTCCTTGGGCAGGGTGAGTGAAAGCTTGAAGGCGAGGGCGAGCGCGAGCGCTGGAAGCGAGTCCCCGACGCCGCCCCGCCAGCGAGGCACCCGCCCCAGCCATTCCTGGTACGCCGCGCGCGCTAGCGCCCCCCTCTGCGGCCAATGGTACTGTCAAGGAAAGAGAAACAAGTTGTCACTGCAGAACGTGACGTTTCCGGACCTCGGCGCATTTGCATTTCGTGCTCGTCCGACGCCCTGTTCTCCAAGTAGGAATGTCCGCGGACATGCTCGCTCTCCGCCGCCGCCGCCGCCGGCCGAGAAGGCCGGGCTGGTGCGCGAACAGCGCTTGGCGGAGGGAGCTGACCGCTTGCCCGCGCTCGCCGAGTGCACCCACCCCGCCGTCCCTTCGCGCAAGCGGATTTAGACTGCGGGCACAAGGGGAAACGCGGAAATATTAATATGTAGTTTAAAAAGAGGCCTTATTCTCTCTAGCAAATTAAGAAAATTTGCGACGTCGATGCGCGTTAATTTGCACCGCTTTGGCAATGGTGATGTAAAAGAACGAAAACCGGCTCCGAGTTAGTTAGGGTCCCCGCCTAACAGTTGTGTTATCGCAGTTCCCCGAGTGTATAGCGGTTGTACAGGTAAATTCTTTCACACGAGATCTGAAAGCTGTATCAAGCTAAGAATAGCGTAATTTGCGTCCATTGCGCAATTTGTGTCGCAGACAATTCCACTGACTAATACAGTCTCATAATATAAAATATGAGAGTTCTATCAGATATAGACACATTACTGAATTTCACAGTATTATTGATATAAGATACTATGTTATACAATTACTCATCATGAAATATAACAGAGTTAAATTAAATTCAGATATAAAACTTTAATTAGGTAGACTCGCAGATAACGCCACAGTTTTACTCCTTTATATCTGATAGACCCCAATTAAGATTTAATAATTTCCTTGCTTGATCAATTATACGTGCGGTTACACATTACAACGTGAAAAACGCGCTTAAAAAGGATGACACTAGACAGATTCACGGAGAACTTTTGAACAAAAAAACCAGGTGCTACAGCAGCACATACCTTCACGAACTACGAAATGGTTACGCAATATTATACTAATTGCTGAACAAGTGCGAAAATTCGCATGTTTGAACTCGACTGCATATGTTCCCGCGGTTAGTGAAGGGTTACTTCACCTCATTGGTTCAACACGTGTCTCTGCGAGTGTTCCAGACCAGAGAGAAATTTTTGCTCGCGCGGGATTATAACTGGAGCGCGTAGTTTTACGAGTTCAACATGATAAACACCACACCACCACGATCGCTGGACAGTTCAGAGTTGCATCCATTACAAAAATTATTACTTTAATTTTTGAAAATTAAAACTTTAATGAAGATGGCAATTGTGCCATAGAATTCAGTGTTTTATACACTTCCTTTACTTTACAAATTATAGAATATTTACGTTTGTTAGTCCAGTGATCAGTGAAATTTAAAAAACTTAAATTCTAAAAGAGTAAAACCTGGCGACGGTATCAACCGTATAAACCTACCGATAAAATTTCCGTTCATGTCAGAATACTCCATAAACCCATTTACGTAAAACTTGAAGTATATCTCTGAAGGTTTTAAGATACTATAAACGAAAACCAAGAAACCGTCACAAAAGAAATAAAATTGCCCTTTTTTAGAAGACGCTCATTTGCATTTCAGATATTTTAAACAGAACGTAAAAACAGACATGAACCATTCCTTTAATCCAGCCACAATCGTGCACAAGTCGTACTGTCCTCTCTATTTTGGCCAAAAGCACCCTCGTGTAACGCACGCAGCACCAACAGTCACTTGACGATATAATTAAACCAAACATGGATTAAGAACAATTGGAATATATTTGGCGGCAATATCAGCGAATGTTCTTTCCAACTTTGGCGAGTGCTCAGGCTTGGTTGCCAACCTTCAGCTCGTTGGCAATTCCGACTGGGACTAGTCAGACTCGCTGGCAACCTGCTCGAGGCTCGCATTTAACTCGCAGAGCATACAAACAGCCAGAGAAGAACTTATAAAAGGAAACGAGTTTAAATTTGCTGCTGTTGAAGAGCGATTGGGGCTGCTTCCGCCCAGTTTTATTTCAATCGGTTTATTTTACGCGAGTAATAATTGCCCATGTTCGCTGTACCAGCAAATGAATCATCCAGCATAAAGAGCGCGACCGCCGCCCGCGATTCCTCTCCGCCCCCTGCGCCGCGCCCGGCCCCGCCCCCTCCAGCCGGGCGTCCCCCGATGCAGTCCCCTCACAGCCACGCAGGCGGCAAAGCACGCGGAGGCGGCGAACGCGCTCGTTATGAGATCACGACGCGTATATTAAATACCAGAGGTAGTGAAGAAAAAAGGGGGAGGTGGCCAAACGCCCCCGACCCCCATCCTACCGCTACAGGCAGTCGCAGTTCGAATCCAAGGACTGCTGGTCTGCGGGTGTGACGCATCACATCAGATTCTCTGTGGTCCACCTCTCAGAGTACCTCGCCCAATTTGCATGACAATAAAACGATATACTAACATAAATCATTCCATTCAAAAGAGAACGCTAATATAGTATAAATTTCGTATTTCAGCTCACAGCGAATAATTATCTGCTAATGCTGACGTGCACCACTGTACACATTGGCAACCAGTAAATCTATCGAGTTGAATACGTGATTATGCCCTAAGAATATGAAATTTTAAGTTAAGCTTCTTCATGAATCTTTCTTAATACTCTTGGCTTGTTGGCAACATAAGACTTGCTCGATATATTTGGGATAGGTGGATTGTCGTTTTCGTATAAATAAGATTATTTTAAGAACACCAAGTATGCATTATTTGAAAGAACTCACCATGAGACTACTTAAAAGTTACACAATAAACAAGATTTAGAATCTTAATAAATAATTGGAGAGTTAACATTTGCGGACAAACTGATGTTGAACAAAATTACTTTTGCTACTGAAAACGTTTTTACTAGGCGAACATTTTGTATCTTTTTAAAGCTATAATTTAAAGTAACTTCACATACAAACACTAAATGACTTCTCAATTGAAATTTAAAAAACAAAAACTCGCTACCCCTAAACTGTAAAGTTTGTTTTCTGTCAAATCATAGTTTAAGAAGGCAAAAATATCGCTAGTTCTTGACGTGAAAATCTTTGCTGTATGGGCCTGTTTATGAAGGTTATTAACTTGATGTAATCCATATCATATCTTAAAACTAAATATTTTTTAAGCTCTCAAGAAATACATCACCAACAAACGAACAATTAGTAGTTTTCCCGCCCGTTTTCTTCATGACGAAACAATGCACGGCAATCAATGTCATTAAATATCTTGCTCTAAAATCAGACCCCGTAAATTGCGAGTGGTACCCAAAGTTGTGTTTGCCATTATTTACTCAGTTTACATGTCCACCACACACATCACATAATCAGAGAATTGGTGCCAAAATTCTAAATTTTAAGTTTTTGGTAGAAAAGCAAGATGATTTAATAATTTTGTTAATAGCCTCTTGTTGTTGTGGCATTGAAAAGGATTGGCTTCTCCAGTTCCGAAATGTCTTTAAGCCACCGCCCAGGATCCGAGCATCGTTCTGCAGCGCCAAGAGCGCACCGCCGCCGCCGCCGCCGCCGCCGCCTACTCACCTGATGAGAGCCTCGCGCAGGGCGTCGCGCTCGCGCGCGTCCCGCGGGCCGTCCGCGCTCGTCACCACCACGTCCGCCTCGCTGTACTGCGGCGGGCCGTACGTGGCGGAGTCGTCGCCGTCCACCACCAGGTCCACGTCTTCGTCCACAGGCGACGGCCGCGAGCTCGTCGTGGCCAGCCCAGCCGCTGCAACCCGCACGGCGCGCCGTCAAGCCCTCGCTCACAGCCCCCGCCCCCGTGCTCGTGCCCGCCGCAGCGGCGTACACGCGCACGGTGAGGCGGCAGGGCCGAGGATGGTGCTGCCAGATGGCAGCGAACCACGCCCCGCCGGCAAGGGACCGTGAGCCCAACTCGCATCCCATCTTCCACCCTTTCCCAATAACCGTATCACACTGTCTGTTAATGACATAACCTATTCGGAGGCTGATGCCATTAAGACTTCCCTTGGACGTACTTCAGGAACAAGACTCTCAGCTTCAAGATAGGGAATGAAGGAAAAGGGATGCGCGCAGGCCTGGCATAAGGTTTTGATCTCGAGAGAATCTGTAGAAAGTAATCACAAGCTCAATTCGAAAGCTAACTCCCGAAGGGTTTTCTCGAGAAATGTCTATTTACACATAGATTGGTAGATTTATAACTCATACAAATTACTGTATGTTTGGTTATCGTTAACTGTGACCCCATTTGCATGCGTCCCGTATTGAATTCGGGACACTTCTTAAGCGTGCGAAATTACTTTCAATCTATAAAAAGATAGACATACGAAACAAAACATTCGTTTTCCCTGTACGAGTAAATTTATGACCTCGGGCATAGATTACTTTAAACTAAGTTTTCTACAATTTTTTTCTGTATTAGTTACATACCGTTAAAAAGTTCATTCACATACATTCAATCTTTCAAACATTCAAAATATTTGTATGCCAATTCCTAATATTATATGTCAAAGAAAACCGAATTCTTAAAAATTGTGTGTGTAACGAAGTCTGAATGGTCATAGTTATTTACATAACTAGTGTAGAGCGCAAGTGTTTGTTTTAAACACTTATAAAACACACGTAATGCAAAGAATGTATATACTTCGAACTTGACGACTCCACATTTTTATATAGTGTTTTAATGATAATTGCATGCTTAGAAGACCATTTATAGGCTACGGTAATACGGGTTAATTATCAATGTCTACAATTACCGAGTTAGTCGTTGATTCCGACACACATGTTTTTTCAAACCGCTGGAAATATACGAGTTTATATGTTCACACTTTTCATCTCTGAACACACTAGCGCCGAAAACGTATCAGTCCTATCCCATGAGTGCTGACTCAATCAAAACTTATAATGAAATCATCTCTCCCGAAGCAAAGCCTATACGAGTACGTTTTCCACAATCAGAAAAATGACGTAACTTGCGTTAACACATTTTTGCATTAGATATTTCTACTTTAGGGATATTGTTAGGATTAACACAGACAACGCTTTGTTAGAAGCGAGTTTTTCGGTAAAAAGAAAAACAAAGAGTCCAAATATATTCATGAATCAAACGGTGGTAAGTAATCATCCCGCCATCATACAACCTGGAAGACAAGTAATCATCCTCGCTAAACACCTAAGTTTGGAAAATTGAACAAAATGTGCAGACTACTTTAACTAATTAATCAAATAAATTACTCGATAGTATTTTTATATATTACTAGTTCACAATGCATCATACCTCGTGGAGTTTTAAGTTTAAATTTGGGAATCATTTTAAAAAACATATACGAATACTTCCAATACTAATATTTGCTCATATTTATTCATATTTACTAATACTTAAATATTGTCAATAAATTGCAATATTATTTAACTTTTTCCGTTTATTTACAATTTAATGGAGAGAAAGAAAAAAATGATTTTATGAAATTATTACATTTGTCTCTGAATATATCAACTGATTCATGAGAGATAGTAGGGATGGACACGGTCTCAACACCACACTACCATAAAATTCTACAATATCCATCTATTGAAAACTGCATCTCAGGTATTAGACATTGATTGAGCTCTTTGAAACCAGTGTCCGTAACTCCGGCGCACTCTGCCAAATGCCACAACCCCCTCTCGCCGATGGCGCGAATCAAAAGGAACGTTGTCCATAAGAAACCCTCGTGAGCGACAGAGGATCACGCCGCGGAAACGTGCTCTCGCGGGCGATCGGAGCAACGTACACAACATTAGCCGCGCAATACTCGGGGGCAGGATTAATGGAAACACACTCACGAAAAGCGCGCCACGCACGCGCTGCGCGGAGAGGTCGAGATAAAGACATATGTGTTTGGAGTTCACGTTCGCACACACCGCCGACATGAAAGCGCGGGGCGTCACGAGCGGCGACACTCGTGCGCCCGCGACTAATGCAACATGAACTCGAGGCGTCGGGGCGTCCACAACTTCCGAAGAGGCGGCCCATTCTTTTCGCGGCGCGGCTGTGACGGCGGCCGCCGCCGCCGCCGCGAGCAAAAACACCCACTACGAGTGCGAAAGACAGAGTTCGCCGTTCGGCGGAAAGGTACAAACAAGTAAGCGGCGTCGACGAGGACGCGGGGCACGAGATTCAATGGACGCGCGCGGGGAGAGACGCGACTGCAGGCGCCCGGACGTACATGACACAGTCAAAAGCAGCGTTTCATTTCAGCCCACCCCGGCTACTTACGCGTCTGGAACGATTCGAGCGAGGCTAGTTCCGAATGCTAATTTTTTTTTAAGTTTTGGGGCAAGCATCATCTACGCAGAAATATAACCCCTCCGTGGCCCCTACTCGATAATGTTTATGTAGGTATATTCACGTCTGATATATGTGAAACACGCATAAAGATTTTAGACGCATTAAATTTGCCTTCATCATGAAATGTACATAGATCAAAAATAAAGAAAAAAGCCTGCACTTATGACTTAATATGTGTATGTAGGAAAGGTTCAAATATTTGAAATAAGTATATTACCATTTGTTTTAATTGCCTTTGAATAAAATAGGTAAGAATTAGACTTAGTTTCAAAATTAGATTCTCACTTCGGTTTCATAAGTAATCTAATAGCAAATACTACGATCAATGAGGACCTGTAACAACCTAATCTTGCTAGCAACGTCCCCAAATGCACGTCAACTTGACCAAAAGGCCGATGAAAGCATATGACCACAACCAAATTACTCGCAGGACCACAAGCGCGCTGAAAGCCCTGAATATCACCGGAGAAGGGTTCAGAATAACAGGGATTGCGGGGAAGGGACTCAGCAGTGTGCGACGTTAGAGTATTCAGGGTACATAGAGCAGGAAGATGCCAGAGGAGCAACGATAGTTTGAGACTGCTCAGTGTAAATGCATTAACGATCCAGCTATACCTACACTGCCAGTTTTACATACATAGCGAGAAAATTCAATGCCGCGCATTTTTGCGCTTTAATACAGAAACGTACGTTACAATTCACATACATAGTAATTTACATTACAGGCCAAGGAAGTGGATGTTTCCATGACTAGTTGGAAGAGTTCTCGGACGAGGCTGATAGGACGAGTCTAGAAATTACGTCGTTTTATGGAAAGTCACTTTCGCCGTGGGATGTACATTTCATTCGCGTCCTCAGTTTTATGACAATTTGTCAGTGTGATACACAAATTTAATTAACGGTGATGAAAACATCCTATACATTTTTCGGTTCGGGCGTGTTGGTAGAACTTTTGTTTTCGAATTGTTCAATGACAGTTGATTGTGAATTGAGAAGGATATTGCGCAGCATGTACAATGGAGAAAAATAACGTATTTACCAATTTATGCCAACTCCACCCGATATTTTGGAATAAGCTACAGCTCCTACTGTAGATTTATTTTTAAGAAAATCCAGCGAACAGTATGAAAAATGATATAGTTTTTTGCAATTGAAGAAATTGGAGAGGAGTAAACAGTGTTACGGAGAACGTCCTATATAGCGTATTTTTCAGAAATGAATGAAAAAAACAAGCCGTCGACTATGTGGTCGAAGTATTTGGTGATGAAAGCTTGCTTTGGTGTTAATGAAAAATAAACATCAGATTTGGAATCAAGAAACAAATATTTATATCACTGCTGGCCATGGACAGAACATAAACATAGTGTCGGGAACAGATTAAAAATGTAGTTGCCGTAAAGAGTACCGAAAGTACTTAAGAGTCCTAGTACGGATAATGCCTTTTCTACATTTCCAGGCTGGATTAGAAAAAAGTTGAACGTTATGTTCGAATACTGTGGCCTCAAGTCAAACTTTCTTTTAATTCTGCCAATGCTACTTCAGTATTATAGAAAACAGTGTTAAGAAGCAGCAAAAATGCTGCTACGCACTCTGCTCAAGAACAACAAATATGAGTCTCTAATAACACCGCAATACATAAAGAAACCATAGTCATCTTTCAAAATGGCCGATAAAGCAAGTTTTCTTTCAATTTCGGCGGGCATTCGTAATTAGTAATATAGGTATGTACATTTGAACATTGAAGCTTCATATTTATCTTAATTTTCTTTTAACTTTTATCACTCTGAAACAGTTTTGAAATATTTGAATCTTTGAGAATTACTGAACGATATACCATCAACCCTGTTTTGACACAATCCTGTTTTGAGTAAGCAATAATTTGTATACATTCAAATATCAAAAAAGGTCAGACCAGAATACCTACGCCAAACATGCGCCTATGAAGACATTGTGAGTTGCATGAAATCCAGGAAAACAAGTTGTAGTAAGATAAAAAGATTAACTCGTGGGAAGGGAACGAGGAAAACGTTTGGTTATGAAGCCGTCCTTTCCAGTAGTATTTCCCCATTTCATTCGCGACTTAAAATCTCAGCCCCTCAAGAATCTGCAGATAGTGTTCAGTTTATTTTTCTCCTAAATTAATTATATTTCACCATTTCATTCAATGATTTCTGACAACTCCCCATTATATTGGCAGTGCTTATAATGTACCCACAAGCTCGGACAAACTAGTTCCAATCACACCCTCTTCACATATCACCGTTTCAGAAGAACATGGACGCAACAGGCGAGCTCCAAACAGAACACACATTTTATCTCCTGAAGACATTGAAATGTTATGTTGAACATTGTCAAAGGCCGTAAGTCAATAACAATGTTCTCTGATATGGACTTTACGCGTCTGGTTCTCTCCGTTAGGTCATATCAAATGCACAATGTTTAGCAGTTGCATCTATGTTCTTCCTGAGAAGCATTATAATCATCCTCGACAGAAGATTCTTCCAGAAGCACCCACCTGCGAAACCGCCGACCAGCAGCGTGGTAGCGCGTATCCTGCGCTGGCCCGCCCACTCGTACTCTTCGAACATCTCGGTGTCGCCCTCCACATCCACATTCTCGTCTTCGTCAGCGGCGCCGCCGGTCTGTGGGCAGAGGGGCTGCGTGGGCGAGGCGCTGCGGCCCTTGCTGCCGGCCGCCAACAAAAGCGGCCGCAAACCCTGATTTTGTCGCGCCATGTGAACACAAACTAAGCTGCTCGTTTCCGATGCTTCACAAGAATAGTCTCCCCTCTTTAAATGATAGCATGTATTGACACCTGACATTCAAGTGAAAGAGGCACGAAGACTTCTGCCTATAATTCTATACATTCAGAATTAAAAGAAATGAACAACAATTTTAAATAGTTTGTATTAACACAATGCATGTGGATTTGCCGTCAATAAATCTTATACATGTAGCTACATCCGTTTAAGAAAAATAAGTGAAAGATCATTTACATTTATTTCGCAAATTGGAGACATAATACACATCAAACAAAAAAATGTGTTCTCTTAGAGACTATTACAGTATTCGCTTTTGGTGACCGCACTTCAAAGCATCGCCACTAAATCCTGATGCGTGAAATCTGAATCATATCTGATAGCATGCTAAACGTATAGAGGTTTCCCGAAATCGAATGCAGCATTCCCCTTTTCGCGAAGAGGCCTTCCTGAAAGCGGTCTCCCGCGGGAGACGATATCGCTAAACCGGTCCCCCGCTTCTTTTCTACTTCCACGACTTTTGTTCAGTGCCCGTGTCGCGTTTTATTCCTCTTGTCACTCCGCCGGGCCTTTGTCTCTGTCAAGGCGATGACGGAGGCAGAGGAGAAAGCAGAGGTGGAGACACAGAGAAAAAGAAAGATAGAAATGGTCAAATGAAGGAAGGCAATGTGGAGATGAAAGGAACAAAAAACCAAAAGGGCAAATAAAATCTAGGATAAAACTAGGTAGAAGGTCAAAAGGAGTGTAGATCGTGAAGGTGGATAATTAGTAAGAAGTCAAGAAGGACTGATGTGGGAAAGTAATGGCACCGCCTACGCACCTTCCTCAAGCACATCTCAACGTGGCCGTTGAGCTCCTCCACGCTGCCTTGTACGCGCTCGTTGCACACAGGGCATGTGGCCTCGTCCGCTTTCCTCTTCCGATTCTTGATCCGTAGGCGCCCTTGCCGGTTCGCCTTGATCCTCTGGTACGTCTGCAAGAGAACGCAGCCATGTTGCCATTTGCACTCTCCAATAGGGCGACTGCCTCGAGCAATCGTGTCTTGCCCCTTTGCCATCGACTCCAAGATGTCGTTCGCAAACTGTAAGGTACTGTGGAAGTGTCACTCCTTGCTTACATGTGTATAATACACAACCGCCCCTTCAATTACGTAACTGATTGACCCTTACAATAATATAGTAATTCAATTTTTCCTGGAGAGACATTATTTCTTTGTACGCACTAGGCGCGTTCAGAAAGTAAGTTTCCAAGGACGTCAACAAAATGCAAACACAATGTCATGGGAAAACTTTATTATAGTAGATACGGTACATGTTGCAAAATTTTCCATACAATCACCCCAGAACCGAGATATTTGTCATACTGTGAGAACAGCATTTGTATCGCTGTGTCATAGAAGTCAGTCTCATGGGATAAGAACTAATGTTTGTGAGTCTAGCTAGCTGTGTGTATCCATATTGTGACTGTAAACACTGGTATTTATCCCAGGCGGCAATCTTCTACGACAGGAATACAACCGTTTATCCCACGGCGTGAAAAATTTGTCAATTCCATTGGTATTGTGAAAAAAATGGGCAACATGTATCGTGTCTTCTACAATAACGTTTTCTCATAAAATTGTTTTTTCTACGTTGACAACCTAGGGAAACTTGCTTTCTGGATGCGCCTCGTACAATGATTTATACTCTTGGGTGACAATATATATTTTAAATGAAATGAATATACGAAGTATGAACATTTTTCATAACCAACGCCTAAACGAACTAAAATTGAAAACATAATTGGAATACGACTGCAATGATTAAACCATAAGGATTAAAAAAAGGATCGAGATAAAAAATACGATCAGCCATCCATACGACAATAATTGTTTCATTCATTTATGTAAATTTGTTGCGTTAGAATTGTCTAAAATTTTTGAAAATGCCAATTTAAAAATACTCCTTGGATAACATGGAAAATCAATTCTTACTTCGGAGGAGAGGTGGTCCATTCCAGATATACCTTTGGGCTTTGAAGTTCTAGTTTGTTACGTTAATAGGGTTAATCATACATATTTGAAGGTCAATCCGTCAATCAGATATGTTAATGAGCCCAAGGATCTTCACTGAGTATACTTTCTAAAAACTGGTAGGCGAAATAGTAGTTGACACAATACTAAACTTGATTGTGACGAAATACCCTATGAATCTACTCAGTAAAGTGTACGTTAGGTGAAACAACGCTTGTGTCCCTTCATTTAAACTCGCAAATTATTTTTCTGAAAGAATGCATTATTCCCGAAGTTTGGAGTACACGACAATCAAGAATTGCCGAATATTTTAGTACGAGTTTGGCGGTGGGAGAACTGTAAAAGCCATCAACAGTATTCATTGGAAAAAGAGGACATACTGATGAAAAGGCATAAGAGAAGGAGGTAAGGAAAGCACGAAAGAGGATGTGGGAATATTTGCTGTGGAAGAGCGGAAAGCATGGCGGAAAACAAAGGTCCGGGCCCACGGGGCCCTC